TAGTCTTGGAAACCCTATGGGGCAGTTCTACTCTGTCCTATACGGTCACTATAAGTTGGAATCAACTCGACAGGAATAAGTTTTTTTGTTTCTTTTTGAAGACATTATGCTGAGATAGACTACATTTTAACATGAGCTAAAAAACTGCCAGCCTTTTAGACTTACGAACTCTATGCACGGTCCCTGTGGCCCATCCATATCATTTATTTTAATTACTGGGCGCCCATAGGAGGTTGAGTTTTCCAATCCCAAGGATAGATAATTTCAGCTGCTTTTAATACTGTATTTGTACCTATGAGTCAGACAAATTGGAGCAGTTAAAAGGGTTAAAGTGAAGTAAACGATCCTCATGGATAAACACAGTGTTTTTATATAAAACACAAAACAATGGTTTTGATGAATATCTAGACAATTGCTCAATTTTGTTTCATAAATGGTTAACTTTTATTATGAGTTAAACTATATTCTTCATTCTCATGCATTTGATCATGAGATAATTGTTTATTATTTTATTGCAAAAGGTTACTACTGTGTCAGGTACTGTTCCAGACTCTGGGAATAGTTCAGAAGACAGTCTCTCCTCTCATTGACCTCATTTACTGTGGAGAGACAGGTAAGAAACAAAGATGGTTATTACATATAGTGATAAATGATATGAAGTAAATAAAGCAAAATTATGTGGGGAAGGTACTTTAGATAGGGTTAGATTTTCCAATCAATTAATCATCCTTTTTAACATGTAGAAGGCCATAAAACACATACACCCTCCACCTCACACCTTAAAAAAAAAAACATGATTCCTATCCTCTAGGAGCTTTCCTGGGTCTGCTTTAGTAACACAATGGTGCCTTTAAAAGCAAAGGATGTACTATAAAAAACAAAAGGTGAAAGGTAATTATCCAAATAGTTCAGGGCGTAACTATCTTGTTTGCCTAACTCCCTAGGTGAGTAGTTAAGAACAACCAATTTAGTTGATCCAGCTCGAAGTGTTCTAGAATCAACACTGTCTGCAGACAGTCTCTGGTCTTGTTGCTGAGACAATGAGATTATTTCTTTTTAATGTGTGGGTTTAACTCACTTTACTAAGTAACCATGAAAATTTTATTAAACTTTCAGTCACTTATTTCCCCATGTGAGAAAATTTTTGAAGACAAATTAAAAGCTCCTTTTATTCGTCACCCTCTTAACCTTTCTATATGTGAAAATGAGTATCATGAAGTAAAATAAACATTTTTATTTGAAATATTTTTATAATCAATCTTTGTAGACTTTTTAAAAGATATGCCATAGGATACATTTTTGAGACACATTAATCATCTACAGAATGTTTAAAATCAAATTTCATGGAATTCCATGTGAAATAATTTACCTTATTGAAACCATACCAATCATGAGGTCTCTATCTTTTTGTTTGTTTTGTTTTAGCCAAGTACATCCCACCAATAAGCTCTCACTTGGCATTACTCAATAGCCTCTTCACTTTTATAAGAATAGCCATCAGCTGTCTTGATAATTATAAGCAAAAATTATTTTATTTTTCCAAATGTAGCAATATCATAATTACTATGTTAAGGGAAAATAACTAAAAACCTAGTATTCTCCTCATTCTTTATTACCAAAAGTCAAACCCATTGCTGCAGAGTAGATTCTGACTCATAGCAATCCTATATTACATAGCATTATTGCAGAATTCCAGTTTTTCCCCAGTTTATCAAAACACAAATCATTTATAAAGCCGTTCCTATATGCCAAAACAAGTAAAACTGAATATTGAGAATGTAACTTTATAATATTCCTGAAGCCAAAGAGAATTTTGAGCTTGTTTTTCTGTTGGACATGGGAGTGTGCATATTTGTATATACACAAATAGGCACTCAATACACTTAGTTACGGAAGAAACCAAAGGTGATGAAAATGGATGTGATAGCTAGTACAGACACACATCTGTCTTCATGGTACCTATACAAACAGCCGAAAAGTGAAAAAAAAACAATGAGCTACTGTCTATACATTACCAAGCAATTTTTGGTTTGTCTGTCTACTCAAAAGAATGGGCTTTTACTATTATTGTAGTTTTCTTATTTTCTTTTATTGTTGTTTTTAAATGAAACTCATTGAACGTGTCAGGGTATTTCATTACATTCTAAACATAGCCTACAGTCAACACATACATTCTTCTATGACACACAAACCTTCTTCTATGGCACACATCCCCCCAGGCCAAGAGCAACTGCCATCCTTTCTATATGAGATAGAAATACCATACGTTCTAACTTCAAAAAGTCAAAAACTGTCTCTGGAACCTAGTTATCAGTTCAGAAAATATATGTTTATATAAACATATATATA